TTAGATATACAATTAAAGAAGATAAAGTTACAACTAAAATACTTAAATATAAAGGAATCCCTATTGCTGGAAAACAATTATTAGTAAAAGGTGATATCTTAATGGTATGTACAAATTCTGGAATAAGTAAATTTGATTTAAAAAGTAAATCAGCATTAAAAAAAGAAGAACAAATTCAATTAAAAACAAGTCATATTTCAGTAATAGATAATACTTTATGGGCATTTTATCCAGACCTAAAGAAATTAAATGTTTATAATGATAAATTACAAGTATTAAAATCATTTGATTTTAATGACGTTGTATTTATTATTGAATGTGGTAATAGTGTTTGGGTTGGACTCAATACAAACCAATTAAATGTTATTGATTCTAGTTCTTATGAAATTACTCAAACATTTGATTTATCTACTAATAAAGATGTTAGTCTTATTACTGGGTTATTAGTACAAGTTGGTAATCCTCCTTCTGCAATATTCCAATTCTGGGCAAGTACTGATGACTTACAAATACATTTCCTTCAAACAACTTATAAACCTCATACTTTTATTCCAAGTGTAGAAGAAGCTTCAAAATGTGTTTTCTGTAAGAAAGCAGTAAAACAAAAAGATAGTTTTCAATGTATTAGTTGTAAATTGGTCATTCATAAATCTTGTGATCCTTATAAACATAATATTCAAGCAGTTTGTAAGGGAAAACCTCAAGTAGTTTCTTTGCAATTGTCCCAAGGAATGGACACTGACTCAGGTGCTATTATGGCAGAACCCTCTCCAAGAAGAAAGAATTTACAAAAAAGATTAAATAGGTCATACACTATTAAACCTGTTTCTGGAGGTATTTCATTCCCCGATGATTGGAAATAAATTCAATATTTAACAAATAATTTTTAATTAACTAAGGTTACAGTAAAATAAACTATTTTTTAATTTTATTTATTTATTTAATTTCAATAAATACAGTAGTAATTATATATTCTCCTTAAAATAAGAAAGTAAAGAAGAAGAGTTTAAAACCTATCAAAATCAAATAAAAATTAAATGATGATATTTAAGTCAGGGACGTTTGAAATACTCTATTTCATATCAAAAAATGAGAAAAGGAAATTCCCCAAATCCAACGACTAAAATCAAAGAATAAGCTAATAGTTGATGAACAAACAATTTTAAAGTAAAGGGATGAAATTAGTTTCCCCTGAGCAAGGAAAAATAGAAACTATTTCTATTAATACTTTATTAACTACTTTTTATTTAATTAAATAAATTATAATTATTATATTTGTTAAATTATAATTCTTCTTATTATTAATTATTATATATATTTAATTCTTTTCTTTATAAAACAGATATTTGTATATTATTTAAAATATTAATTAAAAATAAATTATTTTTTTTTTGGATTAATTGATACTCTTACTGATAAACAAAAG